TTTTCGTAGAGATGGGCTGGTCTTGCTCTTGCTCAGGCTGGTCCTGAACTCCTGAGCTCAAGTGATCCATCCTACCTAGAGTGCTAAGATTACAGGTGTGAGTCACCACTTCCAACCCATTCTGGTGATTTTAATCTTTTTATTTTTTTACATAAACATGCGTTTATTAGGTTTTCACTTTTAATCTTAAAAATGAGCCATGTGGGCGACCTGAGACCATGGGAGATAATGATGACCTGAAAGCTGTAGTGGAAGTGATACCATCTCAACCCACACGTGAATTGGAAGCAAGGTTTGAAGTTATTATTCCAACAATATTAGATCATTTGAAACAAATTGGCAAGGTAAAGAAACTGGATAGATGGGTTGTGCATGAATTAAACAAGTGTCAGAGAGAAAATGTCTTGAAGCTTGCCTTTGCTGTCACAAAATAAAGAGAAACTATTTCTACACCATACTGTTATCTGTGACGAAAAATGGATTATTTTATACAACCACAAGTGTTTGTTCAGCATGATGGTTGGATAAATATCAAGTGCTGAAACACAATCCAAAACTGAATATTCATCAAAAAAAGCTAATGGCATCTGCTTGGTGGTCCAGTGCTGGTATTATCCACTACAACTTCATGAAACCAGGTCAATCAATTATAGCAGATGTCTACTGCAACCAGCTGAACAAAATGATGAGGATGCTTGTGATTAAGCAGATAAGACTGGTCAATATAGACGTATCAATCTTCTTTCAAGACAAAGTTAGACTACGTGTCCCAAAAACAACACTGCTCAAACTACAGAAGATAGTTTGTGGTAGAAACTGATCACAGGTAAATGGAGTTTAAGCCCATTGCTCTCACCGCCCTTATTTCCGGATATAAACACTACCCTATCAGGATTAACATGGCAGCAGCCAGCCTAGAAATGGTCCTACAGTAATGAACCCTAAAATTTTTCAACTGCTCGAAACTGCCTCTATATAGCCTGGAATTCTTTCATATAAAATTTTTCTTACCAATAATCATCTCTTTAAAAATACCAATTACTTCATGTATTTACTTTGAGGGGTATGAAGGTAGTATTAAATGGTCACTCATACATGGTGGATTAGTCCTCTGCCATTTAATCTAACTGTAACCAAGTCCATCAGCATGAGGAAAGGAATACCTTTTTATACTTTTTTAAAAAATTAATTAATTAATTTATTTATTTATTTTTCCTGAGTTTTTGGCCAGGGCTGAGTTTGAACTCTCCACCTCTGGCATATGGGACCGGCGCTCTACTCCTTTGAGCCACAGCACCACCCCCTTTTTATACTTATTCACAACTTCAGAGAGAAAAAAATGTAAACATAAATTTTATACCTAAAGGATGCTTTAAAGCAGGCGGACGCTTTAAAGCAGGCAGTCAGTCACTCACCAGTATGATGCAATGGTGTGTTCTATATAAGACCTGTGAGATCTGTATAGTCCCTAAGATTCTTCTTTATTCATACCACATTCTTTCGAGAATATTACCACACATAAGCTGGGAGAGTGAGATCCAAAGCCCTAACAGAGGGTCCCAATTAAAGTCCTTCTCTCCATAGGAGCCCACCCAGACAGGTGCATTCATAAGCCCTGAAAATTTCCCTTTAAACTTGATAATGGAATTCCAAACTTAGTTTTTAGTAGACATACCTTGAGAAAAATATATTTAAGGTTCAATGTAATATCCACCACATCAGGGCAGCGCCTGTGGCTCAGTGAGTAGTGCGCCAGGCCCGTATACTGAGGGTGGTGGGAACCCAGCCCCGGCCAAACTGCAACAAAAAAAAATAGCCAGACGTTGTGGTGGGAGCCTGTAGTCCCAGCTACTCAGGAGGCTGAGGCAAGAGAATGACCTAAGCCCAGGAGTTGAAGGTTACTGTGAGCTGTGATGCCACAGCTCTCTACTGAGGGCAATAAAGTAAAACTCTGTCTTTAAAAAAAAAAATTATATATATATATATATATCCCCACCACATCGCCTACAGAGAAGTTTAATTTGGAAATTATCCACTCTGAAAAATACCATAACCCAGATACCAAAGCAGGTTTACCTTCACACAAAAGAACACACAAAAAAAGAAGATACAGTTGATTTTGGAAACTAGAACTGGCACTTGTGGTATTTATCTTCTGTCACTGTTTATAACTACCTTCAATCATTTAACTATATTATTATGAAATTAAAGGAAATAAGACTGGCAATCTGGAAGATAAGAGGGTAAAGATTAGGAGGCTGGGATGAGGCAGTGGCTCACACCTGTAATTCTACCACTCTGGGAGGCTGAGGCATGAAGATTCCTTGAGCTCAGGAGTTCAACACCAGCCTGAGCAAGAATGAGACTTCATCTCCACTAAAAATGGAAAAAAATCAGCCGGGCATTTTAGCAAGAGCCCTCCTGTCTCAACTACTCAGAAGGCTGAGAGAGGAGGAGCACTGGAACTCAGGAGTTTGAGGTTGCTTTAAGCTAGGCTAATGCCTTGGCACTCAAGCCTGAACATAGAGAATCTATCTCAAAAGGAAAAAAAAAATTAAAAGGCTGAGAAAGGAACACATATAACTAACCAAGTTAGACTATTTTAACAGTATAGTATACTATATGGTTAATTCCTCTCAGATCACATATTTCTAGAAAACTTTCCTGATACCAAGCAAAGTGGTCTAAAATTCCAGCTTTGCTAACTCCTTACAATTTTATTCATCGTAGACTGGCCTTAAATTCCCTAAAACAAAGCTTACTGTCACATCCTCCTTCAATTACTATCCTCTCTCTTACAGATAAAATGCACTTTACTTCCCCTCTTTTCCCTTTCAAGTGAACCCTGCCTATACAACCCCTCAATCTTTGACACGGTCCCTAAAAATAAAATGTTCCTTCCACTTCTCCAAGCCTAGGTACTTCATTCATTCTTTTCTCCCACTGGTTCACTCCTTTTAGCCTCTAACAAGACAAAGATTTCCTTAGGCGAAGGGGAACAATACCTTCCACCACCTCAAAGGAGCAGCCTTGGGTTTCCTTATTATGTCAGTTTGCTTATCCTTCTTCTTAACCCCCAGTAATCCAGTTTGTTTTAACAACCCTATGAAACCTCAAGTACAAAGGATTACTGAATCCCAACAGCCAATTAAGAGACCAACCTCTCTCTTTTTTCTAAACCCTGGCCCTCCATTCTCCAAGAGAAATTCAAGGTTGTGGATGGACCCTACTATTTTTCTTCCTTGCATCCCCTCCACTGTCCAAAATCAAAGTCTTTCCAGGAATCCCAATCTATTCCACCTCCACTTTATTATTTCTACCAACTATATCATGACCATTAAGTCAAATTTCCTTTCACAGGCAGCCACCAAGGTCTGCTCCTTTTTTCTATACTAACATTGCAGCTTCTAGTTTTTCTGTTTCAAGAGAAAAAAAATCATCAGGGCGTTTTAGCACGAGCCCTCCAGAGTGAACTCCAGGATGAGCTTTGGATCTCATTCTCCCAACATAGTTTTTCCATATTAATATTTTACCTGCTATGGTTGTGGGTTTGTTTTTTCCTTTTTTAAAAAGAGAGAGTCTCACTCTATTGCCCTGGATAGAGTGATGTGTTGTGGTAGCTCGCTGCAACCTCAAACTCCTGGGCTCAAGTCATCCTCTTGCCTCAGCCTCTGGGGTAGCTCCGACTACCACAACGTCCAGCTAGGTCCTCCTCCCCCATTTTGAGGGCAAACGTAGGTCTCAGTCTTGCTCAGGCTGGTGCAGGTTTGTTTCTTAGAGTTCCAAAGTGACTGCAGAGCTCAGAATGAGACATAGCTGTTAACACTCCTTTACCATGACAAGCGCTCACCCTCAAATGATACTAAAATGAAACGCAGTCTGGGAGAGCAAGGTGTGAAAAATATGGAGGGCAGAAGCTTGGCCAATGCCATTGCCCTCACCTCAGCTGCTACAAATATCTGCATTTCTCCCTGGCTACCAAACCTTTTATGTATATTTCTGTACCGCCCACAAGTTGGGAAACTCACCTCCACAAGTTCTTGAATAAACCCATTAAATAAGAAGTCTTTTACTCCTTGACCAGAAGACATCATTACTGTGACAATTTTAATGTAAAGACACTAAACATTTGACGTTACCTTAAAAATAAAAAATATATTAAACCCCAAAACCTCTTCTCAATCAGCCTCCACAAGTTAAATTAACTTTGGCAAAGTGCTCGTTCCCAGGGCCTAGGGCAATAAAAAAAAATAATAATCTAGGTGAAACACCTTCTACCAGAAAAATCTGTTTTCTGAAAGGAAAATTTTAACTAGGTAAGGCCAAGTAACAACCCGTGCCACAATTCGCTCATGAAAGTCGCCTGTCCTCAGTCTCCTCAGAGGTTACACCAGGAGAGCTGAACAGTTTGAGTCTGTTGGTTTCCTAGGAACCATGTCAGGGCTGCTGCTGTTCCAAAGAGCTTCCACACAGCAGTCAAAATTTGAAGTTGCAGGAGCGGCTGTTCTATTAAGCCGCGGCTAAGAATAACACTCGACTTCACAAAATAAAAAGACGACGAGAAAAAGTCCCCCGAGCAAGGATACGGGGGCGAGGCAGAGGAAAGGAGCTTCCAGCACTGACCCCCATCGCTTAGCCGAAAGCAATTCGAACACCTCCCGCCCCAGGATCGCGCCGCGAGGACCACGTGAGACCTCCGGGGCCAGGTGGGGACAAGGGGCGCCCACCCAGAGAGGGCGGCAGTTTGCAGGTGCGAAGGACGTCTCCCCCAGGGTTTAGCCGGGCTCCCGGCCGGGTTTCCAGGTGGTTCGCGCTCATTCTGAATTAACAGCGAGATCGCGGCAGGTTGTAGGTTAAACCAGCGAAATGAGGAAAAGTAGCAGGGGTCTGACGGGAGATCAGGCTGGGCCCGAGCCGCGAGAGTGGGTAGGGGGGTCCCCGCCGCGGGGCGGGCGCTGGGGCGGTGGGCCCTACCCCGCGCGCCCACCCGGCCGCCTTACCGTGGCTCTGCAGGATCTCGTGCTTGAGGCCGCCTGTGTAGTCGATGAGCTCCTCCAGGCCGCGCTCGCACAGCTGCCCGTAGCCCGAGAACTTGTGCAGCACCTTCTCCAGCTCGCGCTCCACCGTCACGCACTGATCCATGCCGGAGGCGGCGGCGCTCAGCTCCCCGGCGCCCGGGTGTCCGCAGCCGTTCGGCCCCGGCCCCGCCAAGGCCGCGTCCTGCTCCTGGTCCCCCAGGCGGGCGGCGCGAGCGGCTGAGGCAGCCGAGGCGGCGGGCGAGTTAGCCACGGCGCCGGGGGAGCCCCGCGCAGCCAGTGCCCGCCTGCCCCATGGCGCCCCGGCCCCCCGGCGCGTTGCCGCCGCTCCTTCACGCTCTCCCTACCCGGTCCCACGTCCCTGGCCCCCGCTCGCGGCGTTCGGGTGTCCGCCGCGGCGCCGCCGATTGTTTTTGTTTTCACGGGAACCGACCGATGACCTGGTTCTCCCGGGCGGCACCAAGCGCGGCCGGCGGGGGGGAGGGGAGGCAGCTACCCCAGCTAGGGAAGGAGGCGGCGCGGACCGTACCAAGCGCGCCCTCGAGGGGGAGCAGTCCGGCGAGCGCGGGAGGAAGAACGCGACCGGCGCTCGCACACGCTGCCGCTCTAAAGATATGGGCCGTACCACGGAGAAGGCGTGCAATGAAGAGGGCGAGGGTGGAGCGAGGACCCAATTGGCCCGAGGAGCTAAATACGGAACTTTGGAGACAGCCCCAGTCCTCGGAGAGCGCTACAACTACGCGCTTCGTAAACAAGGGGGTGGAAACCGTTCCTAACCACTCCGCCCAGAAGCTGGGAAAACGAACCAATGAGCGGGGGGTTTATGTAAGGAACCAACGTCCTTCAATCCCCGGCTGAGGCGTAAACCTTCAGCCAATCCGGATTGAGGGGCCAAACCAATAGGCTCGCTGTTGGAGGGGGTGACTTAGAAACCTTACCGAGAAACAAATAATTTCTGGAAAGCTGTGGGAGGAAGACAGGACAAAAGTAAAAAGCGCTGTTTTCCGTAAGACTTCGCCATAACTATAATTTACCTTGTCTCCTCATCGGTCTCATTCCAAACTTTTGGTAAACGGATCCTCCTCCTCCAATGAGAGAACCAAGCCAGGACGCCGCAGGGCGGTGGTGCCGCGGGTTGGGGGGGCGCTAACGAGAACTAAAAGGTGGGGGCAATTCTGGGGACCGGTGAGAACTACTGGTCAATGGTACCTTAAACGCTTGCAACACCCAAGAGATCTCACTCCCCACCCTCTCCGAACTCGGCCCTTTGGCCCTTAGGCTTGGAACCAGTCCTGACTGGTCGCCTCGCCCCCGCGCCATGAGCCGGGCATCTTAGTGGTGTGGAAAGAGCACGCACTGGAGAGCAGGACAGCCTTGACCTTTAGGAGTCTTACTCTGTTGAATTGGATTGGGTTGCCCCCTTCGCCTGAATTCTTCCTGCAGGTCACCGTGGTGCCTCCGTCCTTGGCCTAGACCCCTTTCCTCATTAATCTTCTGTTGTACCAACCTTTGCGTTTCTCCAAGGAATCCAGGTAGTTCTTGCCTCAGGTCTCTGCACTCGCCATTTCTTTGGCCTGGACCTGGAAAACGCTTCCTCCTACCTTTTGCATCCTAAAGTTTTAAGTTCATTGCCCCTTTTCAGGGTCCTCCTCTGACTACACTAATGTAGCCTCTACCTTCCCGTACTTCCTCCCCCCGTTGCTTTCTCATATTTATTATATTTGTTATACCACCAATTGTATCATTTTCAGTATCCTTTTCACACCATTTAAAATCTGAAATGATCTGATTTATTTTACATTTTTGTCTGCATCACTTCCATAAAACCATGAAGTCAGACCCTTTGCCTGTTTTTTTGCCCAGGACAGTGCTTGGAAAGGAGATAGGCAAACTTTTTTTTTTTTAATCAAGGTGGATAACCTTTTTGATCCTCAATGCCCTTTTTTATATTTTGACATAATTGAAATTAATACTTTACTAAGCTAAATGAGATAATAATACATGGTGCTCCAAAAGTCTCCATACATAGGAAAAGTTGCATAGTAACAGATTTCTTGGAATGTGTTCACAATGAGTGGGAGAGAAGACTTTATGTGTGTATAACGAGGTAGCCAACACGTGAATATGTTATAAATAGAGGTACATTTACCACAATTTCCCATTTTCCCAATGTTTATCAACTTTTAGGACACCCTATGTATGTAAATGCCCATAATAGGCCTGGTGATGACCACATTGCAAAAGTAGTTATTAGAGTAGCCTCAACTGATGCTATTATAGATAGAGCTTTCATCTCCCTCTTTTGCTTTCTCCCTTTTTCTTGGCAAGTGGCCCTGATTCTTGTTTCACAGAGATTAAAAAAAAAAAAAATCCAACTCCAGCATCCTCTGTCACTCCTCTCAAGGTACTGCTGTCCACCATACATTTTGTGAACGTTCTCACGTACCCAGAAGAAAAAGGGTCCTCTCTTCCTTCCCAAGACAACACTGGGGCCTGCTGCCTTTAGCTCTCCTTTGCCCAGATCTTCCCCCTACCTCTCCAGTAGGTTCTTCCTGCTTTCAGGTGGAATGGGTCTGTACTACTTGTGAGTGTGGGGGAATTTTCATTGAGCCCTCTTCAAGCTGTTTCCTTTTCCTATAGTCCTTTCACTGACAAGCTGCCTAGATAAATCTGTGCTTTTTCCTTCCTTTTCTCCTTAGATCTCCTTGATAAGCTCTGTTATTCTTTTTCTTAGTCTTTTTTTTTCTTAAAGGGTTGTTATGAAATAAATCCACATAAGGCACTCAACATAATGCCTAGTGCAAGGTAAGAGATATTATTACTCACTGATCAGAAATAATCAATGAATCCTCATTACCTGTAGCTTCAAATCCTAACTTTCAGCTGCACAGTCTGCCCAATGTTTGCCACCAGTCACAATTCTCCATCCAAGCAACAAACACTTCTACACTCTCCCGTGTGAATTAAGCATAGCTCATTGTGCCTTTTCTTCTCCTGGAATGCTTTTCTGCTGGGAGAATGAGGACCGAAGACCTCATTCTTGGCAAAGGAAAGTACCCCTAGAAAAACAAAAACTAAAAAGCTGAGTGAGTCGGAACAAAGAAAAGCCACCCAGTTCACATTTAAGCTAGTCATTGCTATCAAGCTTCTTGCCTTTTCTGAAATTCTGGCCTGTTGGGGATACAGCTTACAAACACCCTGCTGGGTCTGTGAGCACTCTGAGGAGAATAGTGATCATAGAAAAGCTATGACAATGTCCAAGAAAAGATATATTTTCTAGGACATCTCCTGCCCAATAAACAGGCAAAGCAGATACCATTGTGGAGATTTGCATTTGCCTGGGCAGAGACCAAGGGAGTAGCTTGAGCTCTGAGATATGGGCAGAAGAGCTTACATCCCTTATAGCAGAGGAAAATCCTCTATGGTGGTGATGGGAGGAAAAGGCCTCCCTCCCACCTATCCCTCACAGGAGATTAACGCTTGTGGCGGTATACTCCACAGAGAACTAGCAGAGCTTAATACCTCCATAGAAATCTGTGGGTATGACCTTAAGTGAAGGCTCTCCCAATACAAGGCTCAGATTTCAGATTATTAAAGGCCACCCTTAAGGTTAATAATACTAACAATAGGAGCTGATACAGTCAATCTGAGAAACTGCTGATGTGTTTGTTCCCTCCCTCAACTTACCCTCTGGGCAAATAGACTACAATAAAATCAGAGTGGAGCAAACACTCTGGGCCATTGCCAGAATTCCACTACAGGCAATGGACTCCTGAGCTCCCACTTTTTTTTTTTTTTT